GCAGCGACAACAGATTGCTCCCCCTCTTGCTCCCTCCCCTTCGACCCCGCTTTAAACCCAGGCAGCCACTGACCGTCCAGACGATGATGATGCTCTTGCTGAGGCACTGACAAAGAAAAGGCAAGTCGCCCTTTCCTGAAACCGGGGTAACTGGCTGCTTGCGAGAGGGAGAGCTCTAGCCCCTGAACTTTTCTGTCCTGTGGTGATGTTGTGGTGAGCCTGCTGATCTGACAGCCGTTTCTTCTGGATTTCCGAGCTGGCCAGATCGAAAGCGAATAATGGACTGATCAGCCATAGCTTCCAGGTCTCTCCAGGGGGATATATCCCTTCAGCCCCTGTCGCTCTGGTGCTCCTGGTGAGGGGAGCAGGACGACTTTGTATAGGTGGCTCGCTGGCTTGCTCTGCTGCTTCGAGGTGGAAGGCTGTGTTTCTCCCTGCCAGGTCTCCTCCACAGAGGAGAAGAAGCAGATGAGACTCCAGGACTGCTTCCAGGGCAGAACTTTGTAGCGGTCTCGGCATCCCTCTGCAGCGTTGGTGTGAGCCACGGGAGCTGGGGATGCTTGAGGCAGCCTCTGCCAAGTGACACCTCGCAGCTGCTCCAGAGGTCTTTGCGTGGTCTCACGCTCAAGGGCTTTGCCTGTTGTGAAGATGTCCATGCTGTTTCTGTGAAGCTGAGGTATGGCTGCTGGAAGGTTACTGCTGTACGCTGGCCTCTCTTTAGCTCTGTGTGCCCTGGGCATGCTGGCTGTGGCAATATGCTCTGACCATTGGTACGAAACTGATGCCAGGAAGCACAGAGAGAGGTGCAAGAGCATCACCACTAAGAGAAATGATCCTGGCTTCATTTATAACTCCAACAACAACCTGCCTCTCAGGGCCAGCAGGTCTAGGTTGGACCGCTGGGAAGGGAAACTCCTCTTGGCAAGAAACAGGAGGCAGATCTTTGCTATGAGTGCAGTCGACGAGTGCAACAGACAGTACAACTCCACCAACATGGGGCTCTGGAGGAAATGCCACCGACAAGGATTCGACCAAGAGCTGGAAGAGCTCATTGCCAAAGGTAAGGGCTGTTTTTTTACCACATGAATGTGCCAGGCCTTCCTGAGCTGAGCAGAGGCTGAGCAGAACCATTTGGGCTCACAGGTGGGAGCCGGCATCTCTAGCCTCTCCTTGCAATGGGTGCCCAGCCGGGCTGGGCATCGCCTCCCAGAGCACTGCCAGGGCACTTTCCCATGGGGTCTCTACTGCTCAGGCATGAGGTTTGGGAGCAAGACAGCAGTGGGGGTGAGAGCAGACACACCCCAGAATGTCTCTCTCATGTCTCTGTCTCTCTAAGCTTAGTATAGTCTGCCTATCACCATGGTATCAGATTATTTTCCACATTCAAATAAAAAGTATTAATAAAGAAGACCCGGGATTTTTTTTGTTTGTTTGTTTGTTTTTTAATTTTGTTTGACCCTGGTGACTCAGGCAAAGTACATATTATTTTATTGAAGGCTACATCTGTCTATATTTCATCATTTCCTTACTGAATGCCCCGGCAGTCCTGAAATACACCATTTGCAGTGCTCACATGTAGGCTTTTTCTATCCTCAAATGGAGAGTAAACAAAGAAAAATGCTAAAGAGCAGGAGGAAGACCAGCTTGCTGTTTACACTGAGCTATGCTTTAGAATATTTTCAATGTCTACAAAACATTACATGAATTTATTAGGAGTAGTAGAAGGGAATAATTTCTCTTGTGGGGGAGATGCATCTGTTTGCCTGTAGCATTTTTGGGCTATGTTTTCTCTTCTCTTTTGGTCCTCCTTTTTTCCACAAGGTACCACTTCAAGGTGATGGTCAGTTTGCCTCAAATGTTTCTTTAATCCAAAGTCTAGGAAGGGGAGTTATGCATAAATCCCAGCCTAAACATGTGATGTACAGAAGAGGGGTGTTTTTGCAGGATGATGAGGGTTTCAGTAAAGCATGACAGCATCTTTGCTACCCACGGCATAGTTACTCCATGCAACAAAATAACATTTCACTCCCATGGTTCTTCTGTGGCATTCAGATGACTCCCCAGGGGTTTATTTCCATCACAGTGAAATCATTACTTCTTACCCTGTGCAATCTTTAAAAATACTTGTTTTCTAAGTGTGTTCTGTCCCAAACTCCCTTGATAGCCTGCGTTAATTCCCTCTTCAAACATTGCAAGTGGAATTATTGCTTGAAACTAATTATTCATGAGGGATCTACTCTCACATGTGTTTGCCAATGTATACATTTTGTTCCATATGCTTTAAAAGTGAGCAGCGGAGGTGAGTAACATGGTATAGACTTGCACTTCAAACAAGTGGTGCAGCAGGGAACTAGATGACTAGTTGGGATCCTATCTGTGTTGCTAGTGACCCTTAATGTTTAGCTGCTATTTGACAACCTCTGTGAAATAAATCGGTGTCTTCAGTTCCGTTTATAATGGACCAGTGAACATGTCCAAAGCCCGTCAGCAGCCTGGCACCCCGCTGCTGGTTTCAGTGTTGGTTCCTTTTCTCGGTCCAGGTGAGGGTGCAGACGTGCTGTGCTGGCTGTGGAGGGCTGGCTCACTCTGCCACGTGTGCTTGCTGTGCTTGGGGCATAAACAGAGAAATTCAACCTTGACAGCAGGTGAACGTGTCACCAGAGCTCACCTTTGGCAAACGGAGCTTCAGTTATTTAGGTTTTTCATCTTGAAATAAGGAAGACTCATTCCTTTTTCACTGCCTGCCTTGTCCTGGGTTCAGAAACATCTGTTTCTCCAGCCAGAAACCGCTGAAATTGCCTGGCACTGGGTTACCTGTAACGGCAGCTCTTCTGAGTGTTCACCATAGAGAAAATGTGGCAACTCGGGTTGAGGCAGTCAAATGCAGGAGAAGATCCTGCTGTAATTTGTGCGTGAGAGTGTGAGTGAGCCTGTGTGTGTAGTAAACTACCGGTAAGTACAGAGCATTCAGATGGTAGCAAGGGGTTCCCAGGCTCTGGTACAGCCTGTGCTCCTGCACACATATTCCTGGACATGCGTGTCTGCAGGTGGCCAGATAGTCACTTCCCAGAGTCACTGCCCCAAGGCCAGAAGTGCAAACTGTGCACATAAACAAAGTATGTGGAAATACCTGTGCGTGTCACTCCTTGCCTTCTTTAAAGGTTTTTTGATACACATTTAACAAAATTAATTGTATGTTGGGAGAAATGTTAAAGAAGGGAGACAAGTAACACTCAGTATCACCATTATGGTTTTTTTTTTTTGGGTTTTTTTTTTTTTTTTGGGTTTTTTTTTGGTTTTGGTTTTTTTTTATGGAGTGAGGAGCCACCTAACTCTCAGCCATGATGGACAGTCAAACACATCAGCAGTAATGCTATATGTGCTCCTTTGGCACCTCCACATTAAAACACAGAAAAGCAAGAATAGTGGTAATTTGACAGAATAAAATGTTTGATTTGCTCAGAAATACAACTGGAGATATTATAGGATAACTTGTCCATTTTATATTTGGTTAGATCAAAAAGAACTAAAGGATTTTACTGTCCCCTTAGCACAAAGTAATGTGAAATACTAATTTGTTAAAAATCCTTGTGTGCTGGAATCACTGAATTAGAATGAGCCAGATTTACATGGGTAGTCATCTAGTGTCCCTGTTCCCACCTACCTAGACTGTCTCTTTACAGTCCTCAGCTCTATGATGGAAGTGGAATAAGTACCTTTGCTGTTGCTGTTCAATGCTGGGAACAGCTATGAGTTAAAAATGGGACAGGTATTTTAGACTCATCCCAACATCATCACCTTGCTTTTCTAGTTTTTCTTCCATGGCAGATGCTCATCTGCAGTTAGAGGTTGGAGGGGTGGGTGCCTGGGCAGAGCATGCTCTGTGAAGGTGTGAAGAGCTGCAGATGTTTTCTTCCTGCAGTAATCAAATACCCTGGCTGGGGTATATATTCCTGCACAGACGAAACCTCTCTCTGTACGAGAGCTCCAGGGCAAATACCATATAAAAGAGGATGTTAGTGGTACATAGGCCTTTTACTCTCCTCCCTCTGCCGGCTGTTAGTTTAATCTAGCACACCTCTTCCAGAACTGGAAAAACTAATGGAGGTTCTAGCCCCAAATCTGGGTAGTGCTATATGTAACTGAATGTAAATGCTATTAAAGCTTTTTGTTTTTTTAAGCTGGAGAGGATCTAAGTGATCCATTTATTTTGGGACAAATCCTACATTTTTTCCCTAGGCAAAACATCCAGTATTGAGAAGGGTAGGTTTGTCTATCAAAGGATTTTAAAAAATGGTCATTAAGAGCCTAACTAGCTTTGCAAATACCCTGCAGTTATTCTGCTTATGAACTCTGCTGAAATTAGTACAAGCTTTGGGCAATGGCTTGTGGCAGGATCAGGCCCTGTGGTATTTGGCACTATTCTAATGCCAGTGGTTTTAAAAACCAGTTGTTTCTGAATAGGCTGGGACCCTTTTGTAATTCTATTCTGTATTTATTAGGCTTTACTTTCTGGCAAATAAATCAAACCCTTTATGTTGGATTTTGCTAGAAAAACTGGAGCTCTGTTACTTCAGATTTCTTATGAGTAGATTAAAAGACACTAATGCATATATAAAATAATTGGTCCTATTTCTGTTTCTCCTATCTGTTTTTTTTATATTACTGTAGAACTCGGGTGCATTTTCAAAATAATACAATTAGATAAATAAGCAATGAATTAAAGCAGATTGTCACAAGTAAGCATGTTCAGGGAGAGGCAGGCAGGCATGAGACCAAAGGCCTGAAGAATATTTTAAAGCTGCATCAAAATTAGGCAGCTAATTTGTTCTTTTTGTTACCATGAGTGAAAAAAAGAAAATCAAACCAGAAAGAACAGAAATTACAGACGATACAAAAAGATAGAAAAAATTTCAATTATATTGAATATAGTGTTCCCTCTATCCTATTAGATCCACTCTTTGCCTGTTTACTGCTGAGTTTCTAGCAAAAGTGGCATTACCTCACCCTACCAAAAAATCCCAGTGAACCAACCACCTGCACCGCGAGGTGAGCAGGGCTGAAACGCAGGTAAGTGTCCAGCTGTGGCCAGGAGAAGGCAAAGTTTATGTCCTGCTTTGGCAACCAGCAGCTCACCAACTCCTTGTATATGACTTGTAGTGACCCGGAAAAATACCTGGAAGCCACAGAGCCTGTCTGAATCCTGTGGCACCATTACTCAGATGGTTTCCTGCACTAATCGAGAGGAAAACGAAAAAGGAAAAAAAGGAATTACATAATTTAATTATAAAGGTACAATAAAGTACATGAAGAAGTTTCACAATAACTGGAGTCTGTTCCATTTAGACAATTACTACTCAGAGGACCTTTCATCTTGCTTTTGGAAGACTGCCAGTTAAACCTGTGTGGATGGGGCTCTGCTGCCTGCCATTGGAATCCAATTCTGAAAAAAAAAAAAAAAAAGTTGCGGTGACCTTATTATTGCAATCCCCCTTTGACCTTCCTTCTTCCCCAAAGATCCATGGAAGTCACAGTAAATCCTATTTTTAAAACATTTTATTGCAAGTATACTTAGCCCAGGCCACCACTGAAAAAAAATTAAAAAAATTAAAAAGTCATTCCTGTGCAGCCTGTCTCCACTCCAAATAATATGCAAGAATTTTGGGATGAAAGCTTTCTCTTTTTGGGCTTGTCAGATACATGGCACAAGTGAGGAAAAAAGGCTTAACAGGACTACTCTGGCCATCACTAGGGATTATTTATACACAATTAGAAAAGCCTAATGAGAAGCTATTTGCAGCCATTCCTGGGAGTAAAAAGATTTATTTTCATAAAACTGCTTGCAATGCTGTAGATTTGACTTATAAAATCCAGAGATTTTACTAGGTAAATGAGGACCACCATTTATTCATGTATCCTTCATACATTAAAGAATCCAAATGCTTTGTTTAAAACGCGTGCTTGAAGTTCCAACCATTTTCCAAATGGAGTCATTATAAAAGAAATTTTATTGAAGCCTCAATTCTGATCCTGGTGAAGTCAATAGTAAAAGTTTTATTG